GAAAGAGTAGGACGTAGCCTGAATTCTTCCTGTACTAACTTCAGCAAACAGCACAGTCTCTGAGTATTTATAGTGCCATAAAAGCTATGGCAGTCTCTTCTATATACCCAATACCAATGAAAATATCTCTTGATAGGCAAAGCTTTATACCTTCCTGGGATTTCACTGCTGAGGCAAGAAGGATGTCAGAAAACCATACATGCAGTTACAGAAAAGCAAGTGTAGGGAAAAAAAGCTCATCCCAGAAATGGGCAAATCACTTTTTCCAGTTATAGGAACACTTCAAATCAAGATCTGAGAATAAATCTGGGAAATTATTTGACAAAAATACTCTGAGTAGATCTTTTCCCCAAGAAATGCTACATTCTCTGCTGGTTTTACATTTGTTCATACACTTGGAAGTGTAGCTTAACATGTTACTGCAACATATGCTGAAAATACAGAACACCACAGAAATAAAAGGAATTTTAGTTATGTTAGGACATAAACTTCAGATGACAGATTTCCTCCACTGAAAAATGGATCTTAAAAATCTCTTCTCTTTGAAAAGAACTTGACATATTTCATCCATTGTATTTAACTGCAGCAACTGGTATTAAATGCATGCAAAAAATCACAACGATTCAATCCTGCCTCAGGGAAACAGGCACGTGTAACAGAAGCATAGGGCTGAAGGAACCTAAAGGGCTGCTCTACAGTTTTACAGGGTACTAGTACACATTTTTACAGGCAGACATAGAACAGAAACTGCTGGTAACCTGCACTTTTTAAGAGTGGATCAAAAAAAGCCGAGAAGCTGGCGAATGGGACAAAAAATACTTGCTAAGAAAAATCTGTGTGCCCTCCCTACTACTACACTTCATGTGAGTTTCTTTTTGTATGTCTTCACAAGCACCCTATCCCCCCGCTGAGCACTCTGACCACTCACCCGGGGCACCATGAGCACAGAAATGATAATGGTGATAAACTCTGTAACTGTTATAGGACAGGCTCCCTGGTGCTGCAGGCATTTCCCATCACCATCCACTATGTCACATCACAGCCAAGTACTGGTGGTGGTGCCTCCACCCAGTTGAGTGGGGGATGATGTCAAAGCCAGACCACTGCAGTTGTCAGCACAGAAGCTCGTTGCTCCCGTGCTTCAAATTCTGTTGTGCGTGTAAAAGCTGGTAAGTGTCAAGGGCCTAGCTTGGTGGTTCAGCTCTGATCAGATTTGAAACATGTCAGGATGCTGCATGCATACAGATGTCAGGGGAGCCTGGAGTGAACTGAAGAAAGCTGAATGGAGCTGATGACTGTCCAGAAAAGCTGATTTATTAATCGAGAAAGACAACACAGTCCAATGCAGCTACAAAGCATCAAGGAAATATGCAACCATCTGGATAACCTGAGGTAGGAAAACAACAAAACAGGTCTAGCGAAAAAGCAGGCTGTTTTTCAAATTTAACATGATTAGTACAAAAGTATGTGATATATGAAAGCATAAAAAACAACAGCAGGTTTCAAAAAGCAGCAAGACTCTTAACCACTGACATACAACACTACATCTAAAGACCATATTCTTTTTTTGCTGTCAATCCACAAACTCCACTTCAGTTCTGACTGCAGCTGTCTGATTTGTCTATTGCACCACCAGCCACAGGCCAAGACATCCTTGCATAGTGTGTCACAAGCATTGGTGAGGTACGCACTGAAGACAACAGGATGCACAGGTAAAACTAAGATCACTGTATTAGAAACATTGCTGCAGGCAACAGTGAATTGATGGGAGAAAAAAAAAATCACTTAGAAAGAGACTACAGGGAAATCAGATGAAAAAAAGAGTCAAACTTAGAATCCACTTTATTTGCAGACTAAGCAAGTGTTAACTCAACCTTTAAAAGAGAAAGTGAATCTAGATACTAAAAATCTCATTACTACAACACCCCCTTTCCCAGACTGGATAGCATCATAATACTCTGTTTATTTATTTTTCTATTTTCCTTTCTAGTTTCTAAGCTATTCCAAAGCTCTGTTGATATACAAAGGAAATTGAAGCTAGAATATATAAAATTATCTAAGTGGACACCTCAGGAACAGTGCTAGCCTTCAGTCTGCCCCATGGATCCTTCCCATTCTTGATCAAGGCCTCCTGAGAACTAAGAAAAATACACTCCTTAATCTTCATTTAGCAGTTTAAGTACTGAAGGATCAGAACATAAAATTCCACATCTATTTAACACTTGGTTAGTTGTCATTAAACAACTTGGCACTATCTACATTTCTGTTAATACCATCTTAGTTAATCAGCAACCATTACCACTCACTGATTATGCTCAGCCAGCCTCCTGGAAGACTTCCACACATTTGTGATCTAGTGAAACAGCCTAACTGTGCCAATAGTTCCCATTTATTCACCAGGATCTGAATCAAAGCACTCAAATGATGACATAGTTGGAGCCTCATAGACTGGAAACAGGATCAGAGGTGGAAGGTAAGAGAGGATGTTATATGGTGATGGAGTGTAGGACAGGGCTCTAAGGTCAGTTATCTGCATGGAAATACACCAAAACCAAAAATCTTGGCAAACCTCCTTAGGTTACCAGCTGCATTGTCCTCTTTGGGTAGATTAAATATTTTGAATCTGATGTTCAAACCACTAAGTATTAGGTTTCAACACAACATTATTTCTACAGGTACCTTCATATGTTTTCCCCCAATGCACCTTCTCTCTCCAAAATAAATACTTGGACAAATGTTTCTTTAACTACAACCTCTTCCATTTTTTATGCAAAGACACATCTTGGTAATTTCTCACTCTGCTTCAGCAATTAGAAAGTCAGAGAATACAGCATATTCTGTATACCTACATACCTACTTTCCAGGCTGGAGGAGTAAAAAGTGAGAATAAATTAAACTTAAATTTAAGCCTAAAGAAGCTAAATTTTGCAAAGCACTGAACAGATACTCTAAATGAAGCCCATGAGCTCTTCATAATTTAGGTAAATAAGTAAAAGGGGTATTTTGTAGATGGCAAGCTTTCCTGTTTAAAAACTAAAGTCCTTGCTTAGGCAACCAGACAGTTCCCACCAACATCAAAAAGAGCTAAATGTTCAGCTAATCTGCACAGTAAAGCCACCTAAATATGCCACTTTTATGCCATCTCAAAGGGCTTTTTTTTTAGGTTACCAAAAATTTTAAATATGCCCCAAGTCACACTGTAAATAAGCATCACATGTGTAACTTATGCCTCATTTAGAGATGTCTGGAAACTTGATTCTTAAATGGTGTTTTATCAGAAATGAATCAATAAAAGAACCAGTTTCCTCAGAAAGGATCAAATACTTCACAGAACTGTCATCAGGGACACTGCAGAGTGTTATTTTTGAACTACATAAGCAGAAGAGACTCACATTGGAGTAGCCAGGAACCCAGAGTTCTAGGAACTGCTTTCGGATGAGGAATTCAAATCTCTGCCCTGCCTGATCTGGTGCCCATGGTCCCAGGAATTACTTTACCCCCAAGCTTACTGTCTATCCTTTATGGCATTAAGTGGATAGACTATCCCTGTCCTGTAGTTTTCATAAAAATTCTCAGTTTTTCCTCAAAAGGATTTCCAGCTCTCCCTTCAACTCCTGTTTAATGAGAGACTTTCTGACTGAAAAAAAAAACTACCCCTAAAGACACCTCTGTAATTTTGCAGTGCTGCCTTTTTGGCAGAGTGGAAGCACTTTACTGACTTCAATCTTCATTTAAGAGAGGGCTCTATCTTTAACCTTTTTGAGTCCTTACACTTCCCAGTGTAGCTCTTCCTTGGTTGACTTTAAAAGGTGAAAGGCAGCAGGATGGCAGAGCTGCTGCAGATGGGTGCTGTGGTGTTTGGACAGCATGAGGAAGCTCAGGGATTGGAATAGGAAGAGGTGCAGTAAGTCAAGTTCGAGGCAGATGTGAAATGATGTATTTGGGTTATGGGCAAGAAGATGTTTAAGCTTTTGTAAGCAATCTCATAAAGTCGTTCTGGTGTAGAGGACATTCCCAGGGAGGACACAGTGAATCATGTAACACAGTTTCAGAATGGGGGGAATTCATGAGGGTAATTATTTATATACCTGCTAATTTATTAATGGGTATGTTCAAAACCAGTTGGAAAAGCCATCAACAGGATTTAAATAATTCTCCCATTTTTGGATGGGGAGTAAATTCTAATAATTTGATATTTTCCCATTGAAGAGTCCAGCATCTGATTTTTTTTTGTTTGCGAATTACCAGATTCTCTGTGTGTAAACAGCATCTGTATCCTTGGCAACCAGACTTCTCTTCATGACTGACTCATTCAATGAGGTCCTAATTCATTGTCATTCTTGCCATTTCGTTTGTGCCAAATCATAGTAATTGAGTTTTCCTTACAGACAGGAACAAATTATTAACCAAAAAGGAAAGCAAATACATGGCCCAAACCAGAAAAAGTAATGCATAAAGGAACTTCAGTTCCAGACAGATCCCCACAGGCTTCAAAGCTCAGCAAGGAATGGTCCTGCAGCACACACACTTGTCCACTGACACTGCAGTCTACCAGGGACCATGTGAGGAGCTGAGATAAGCAGGACAGAAAGTAGATGCCTACACAGAATGACTGTTAACACTTCCACATCTTTTTGCCAGTCTTCAGTAACAATTCCTGAGTGTTTCTCCAAGGTGCAACAAATGCCATGCAAAAACACACCTCTGCACCTCTGACCTTTAGAGACTGCATTTGGCTCCCTTGGCAAAAAGAATTAAAGGGCATCTGCTTCCTCTTAGCCCACTCTTGTTTTCTACAAATATTTCAAGACATTTTTGACGGATGTAAAACATCCTTAATGCAGGTACCTTTGGGGTGGGGAAAGGAAGATTTCTGTGAATATAATCGCTTACATAAGTTTTGGTTACATGTGCCATGGAGAGCAGAACAAAACCCACAGACTTAAATCTACTTGCGCACAGTGTGGCCTCTAGCACTACATAGCATGACAAAGGAAGTAAGTACATATTTGCATGAATAAAAATGATAAAGTAGTCTTTTTTTTGGGTGTTGCTTTAGATGGATATAAAATTAGTGATCACTAACAATGCAGAACTAGGTTGTAAATATTTCTATTCTTCTTATGCCTTTTCTAATAGACTCCCACATGGAGATCCTTCAAAGTTTGTATATGCTGGAAGGAAGAAGATTTCAGCCATACTCAAACATCTGACCTTCTCTAGCATAAGACAGTAAAAACCAACCAAACAAAAATCAATAAAATGGATAGAGATACAACTTAATGAGAACTGTAAAGAGAAAGAAGTTATTAGAATCCTCTTCAGGCAATATGGAATATTCAAGTGCTCCACAGGCCTGCTGGTCGTCCTATGTTTGCAGGAATGTGAACAAAGCAGCAAAGAAGTGTGTATGTATCTACACACACACTCACTGACACCTGAACAGCAGCCAGCACTGGGGAGCTGAGTTTATCTGGCACAACGTTGTGTGGAAGAGATGACAAATCGTCAAGGCTCATGGACTTTGAGGCCAGACAGAATTAAATCAGTGCCTTTTCAGTCTGACATGAGGAATGCAGTCTGATTTGATTGAGGAATACTTGACTGGGCCAGCTTTACCTTGGAATTTAAATCTCTCCCTGCATTTCCTTCTTTCCTGTGCTGTCCTTTTTGATCCTCCAGTACAAACTTCACAATTTTGTCTTTTTCTCCCTCTTACCCTGGAGGTTTCTTTTACCTCACTTCTTATTCCACAAAAACAGGATGTGCCAAATATGTGTGTCATACCATTTATATTTAATGCCATGGAACTGACTAACTTTGATGATTTTAAGAATATATTTTCTAAGTTGGGCTAACATTTGTTGCTTTTTTGAGAGGACCTCTTAACAAATGAGCCAGTTTCTTTTCAGAACTAGAATTCTGCTAATTTTCATAATGCAAATTCACAACTTTAATTGGTTTCTGCTATTTTAAAATTGTATGAAGAATTTTAAACAGTGCTGCCTGAGGGCCAGTTCTTTAACTGCTGCATATAGGAAGAGCTTTACTGAAACCAGGGTACTTATGTGCACTAGATAAGGCTCTGGCCTCTCTTTCAAAGCAAAGAATTTCAGCCCCAATTCAGTATTTAGGGGATAATTTTAGCAGTGTGAATAAATCCAGTTCAGCTGAAGAAATTGCTTATGTGTCTGCACCCCTCATTGAGTTAAATATCTCACACCAGAAAGGCAGTGGAGGATATTATGTATGTTAGACTTCATCGCCTATGCTGTAATGGAAATGATGGTGTGATACAATATCCAGCAATAAACTGCCAAGCCTAAGTTATGCTTGTAAAAATAAATATGTTAATAGGCAATGAAGTAAGGATTAAATTTATTTTTAAGATACTTCTATTAAATGCATACTTGTAGATGTTATAAATTAGCTAGATGTACCATACCAGGAGTAAATTAGTCAATATAGTCATTGGAGCCTAAAGAGTGACTTGCTTGACTAGATGTCAGATGTTTACTCTGAGGTGTGCTTAACCAGGTGTCCAAAACCTGTCATGGGGATCAGAGTTCAGTTGCCTAAATACAGATGTATTGCAACACTGAGAGCACCTTAGGATTATCCTGCCTGTATTATCTCCCATAGGTCTGTGTTTTACCTGTCAGTCCCATATGGGTATCTGAGATCTCTGGTGATTCAAACTGTGTTTTGGCAATTCACCCAAGTTCTAGATTCTGTTATTAGCTTAAATATATTTTTCCTCATGTAAATGTATGTGTTTTTCCCTGCTACTACATCTCCCCTTTTGTGTCAGGCCTTGTAATCGCCATCATACATTATTCGCAACATGAGCACAGAACTAAAACCTCTACCAGCACTTTGTTAAAAGGCATAAAACCATGATGCTTTTAAATTCTTGCATTGATCCTGCCCTACAAAATTCTATCATCAAACATTTAGTGATCAGTGTACTGACCAGTATACTGATCTGACTTTAGAAACTGTCTTCTATAGACCATGCCTGAAGAGTCAGTTGTGAATACTTTATGTATGCAATCCAAGCAATACTGGCCAGCTTTCACAGGTCAGTTAACCCATGTTGTAGATCTTCTGTCTTTTGGGAAGTGAAGCTTTTTAATCAGTGTGTGAAGGATGATTGATTTTCTATATTTATCCAGTGTCTGGTATTAATGCTGAACACTCCTGCTGTAACTCTACAAATTGTTACAAGGGAAAATTTTGTTAGATTTAGGATACATATTGCCCCAAAGGATTCGTGGTCAAACTCTGGAACAGGGGGCCAGGGAACTTGTGGAATCTCAGTCTTTGGAGACTTGACACCAAACTGCACAAGGCACTGAGCAACCTGATCTAAACTGGGCCTGCTTTGAGTAGGGTTTGGATGGTCTCCAGAGGTCCCTTGCAAGCTCTTCTGTGGTTTGTTTTGTTTTGTTTTTGTTTTGTTTTGTTTATGTTTTGAAGCCTCATTTACTAAAGTATTCTCAAAACATATATTAAGTATATGAACCTTAACTGAATTTTCAAATGCATCACGAAAAACTACCTAATATTTACTGTGTTCTGATGCCACTAGTCTTGCTCTGATTGAATCTAGCTCCTGCTGTTCAGCCAGCTAGTCTTATTCTATACCTGGTAGAAGCTCAATCAGCTTCAGTTCTGAACTCTCTGCATGCTACATTTGAGTCTGGCCTTTCAAAAGGACCAGCACAATTGATGTTAATTTATCCATATCTGTTCAAATCCATCCTGCTTTTCTATTGTAGCTGAAAATAGTGAAAAATGTGTTATTAAACTGATACTATAGCTTCATTTTATTAAAATAATAGGTTTGTACTTAGCCTTTTTTTCTAGGGCAAACCCTGGAAAAATGAGTGACAGTGTGGCTGGGTTAAGTATTTGCAAAGGCTAAATATGAAGTGTGCAAGGTCTTTAAATTTTCACTAATGTATTTCCAGTTAGTGTCTGCCCAATCCTCTTTGTGAATTTCACTCTATTAAATTATGTTGACTATACAGTTTCAAACTTACTCAGAACCAAAAAAAAAAGTAAAAAAGAAAAAAAAAAGTTTTCTATTCTTTGGCTAGGAAGACCTAAGAACTGGAACAGCAAGAAGAACTCAGCTGTAAGGTGCAATGGCACATGCAACAGATACAGAATGTAAGAAAGAGAAGCACTTCTCTGACACCTTGCGAAACATGTTATATTCCCCTCTTCTTAAGGGACTTTATCTGTCAGAGCGGAGTCCTGCATTCTCTGTCCCAAAAGATCCAACCCATCCAACCTCCTGTGAAACATACCTTCAGGTCAGACACATCTCTGTAGCACTGCTCGGAACGGGTGTGATCAGACAGCTGCACATTCCAGAAACAGGGAAGCTGGTACACAAGGAAGGGGTTTTGTTTGATGACCGCATTGAAGATATCCTAGCAAACAAAACCAGAGGAACAGTTGGGTACATTGTTCCTACTACAGGTGACCGCACCCTCCCTGAGCTGACTGTCCTCCACAGCACAGGGAGAAATTCAAACGGTCTATGCGAGCTGAACTCTGCAAACCTTGCCTCGTAATTTTGTTGCCTAGGAAGGTGCTTTCAATCTAAGGGGTGACATGTAAATCTGAGCTAGAGGAGCAAGCTCTCTTGACACAGAGCAAATGGACTCTACCAAAGTTTTCAAGAAATGTTTCTTGTACTGCTGGCAAGAGATGTGGTTCCTCTTCTATTCACCAGAGAAATATGCAGTAAATGACAAACTGCCAGCTCTTAGTAAGTACTGCATCACATCTCAATAAAAGGGAGGAAAGTGATCTGGCAGTTTCACTGCTTCAAGGTCAATTACTATGTGGGATTTTAGCTAGCACTTGTTGTTGTAGCAATTATTATATTTCATGGAAAAAGCATGTATTGTTCTGCCTTTATGTGGCCATCCAGTTGGGAAAAGTAAGTAACAAGCTTCAGGATAAGGTATTAGGGTAAGACATAAGCAACCTTGGTCAGCTGCACAAAATTTCTGCCCCATGCAGGTACTAGACAGCAACTCAGGATCTGATTGAAAACACAGTGAAATTACAAGAATAATTTTAATGAACTTGAGTAGATACGGATCAATCTGCAAGAATACTGCATAAAAGTGCATATCTCCATGTGCACACTTAGCAGATTGCTTCCTTAGTGGTGACTGGTCATAAGCCAGATGTAGCTCAGAAGCAGCAGAAATATCTAAATATGATGCTGTATTGAGTTAATACACTCAAGCTGTTGAGGAAGACTTATTGGTTCAGGTCCAGTACTACATTAACAGGGTTTCTGGATTTAAAACTAAGAGCTGGCAGGAAGCACAAAGAGTAAATACGAATTTCTGTGTATAGTCACACTATCTCTTCTCTTGGCCTCAGTCTCCCATCTGTGGCAGGGAGCCAGCAGGGCTTTTGTCTTCCCAGGGGCGTTGTGGCAAGGCATACATTAAAAGACTGCTGAGACTCATCTGCTAGAAACAGTGAAGAAATACCTGGAGATTCTTAAAACTAAAGTCTACTTAGACAATAACGAGCAGGAAAAAAACCCTGTATGTTTGGAGGTCTGGTGTCTGGAGAGTTGTGTGTTACAGAAAGAGAGACAAAATTACAGCTTGAAAACCCCATTTGTCTATCTTATGAATCGTGTGCAGAGGAGGCAGAAATGTCAGTGGAGTAAGAGAAACTTGATGAGTAAACCTCCATTCCTTTCTTCCACATTTTCCCCAGAATGATTAACAAATGGTGACCATAGGTACATTATCTTTCCTCCGCCTTTTCCCACACCTCATCCCCTTTCCCTTTCCCCCCTCTTACCTTCCTCAATCCATGGACTAGTGGCTGTACCACTCAACTAAAATGTCCTACTCACCTGGTCAGCCAGTGAAGTGGATAACATGCTCATCAACTCCCGCTCTGCTGTGAGTCTCCACATCTGCTCCCATTTCATCTTCCGTAACTTATCAAGAAGCAGCAAGATAACCCCTGACGGAAAACAAGAGAAGCCATGATGTCACACACCAGTCAAGGTCCATCCTGCCTATGTGCCAACTCAGCTTCTAAAACAAGCACATGAGCTGAGATCTATCAGTAGAAACTACAGTCCTTACCCTGTGCTAACAGGGGAGGTTGACCAAAAGACGCTTCAGGTTTCAAGATGCCACTAAAAGAAAGTTTTCCTGACCCCCTGAGGCTGCAGAGAAGAAATGGAGAGATGGCATACAGAGGAATGCTAGGTTAAAAAGGCTTGCAAGAAGGCTCAAATAGCCAAAGAGGAGTGAAGCTGGGAAGAAGAGAAGCAAGAGAAGGATCCTGTATTTCTAGAACTCTCCTTAAATAATAAAGCTTGACTTCATTATGACATGATTAGCATTGCAATTATTCCTTACCATATGAACCAATACACGTGATTCATGTGATGAAGCTTAATTGCATCCAAGGGTCATTATCATTCCAAAGAGAATTCAACAATATCCTAAATAAAGAAATATGGAATCTCCTAACACAGAGATTGGACCCTTCTCACTCCTTACTCTGAGAAGCTTCAGGCTCCAAGAGGATATCCTGTAAAGTCACTGTCTACTAGTGAAACAGTAGACACAATCTTGATTTCTCTAGTCTGACTCCATTTCTGCCATCTTCACAGTGATCAGAGATCTGCTTCCTCCAAAATCCCACTATTTAAATGCATTTCTAGCTGGCCTAAAATCAAGATTATGTTGAGACAAAAATAATTTTGTCACTCATACAAAACATTTTAGTTACAGTGTGTGGGGTCGTATTTGGCCCTTAATACTTACCACATAGGATGTAATACATAAACTCTGTAAGATGAAACCGCAGTCTTTATTCCATCTAGTGAGAAGTTAATCACTTGACAAACCGGATAGGAATCCCTGAAACATTTCTTGTTATAACCTAACCTGTGAGAGTGCCCACCATTAAAACAGGCAGTGTTCACAGAGTAGAATGCTCAGATCAGAAAGTTACACTCAAATTGAGAAAAGAGATATTTCAACATGAATTGTTATTCCTCAGGTTTTTTTTTGTCTGGACAAAATCCCTAGTGTACAGGAAGGGAAAACAGCAGAAGCAACGAAGCTAGAGTAAAGCATCAGCAAAACCTTTCCTACAGTGTCTCAGAAAATGTGAAAAATTAATTTGGAAAGACTTAGATAAGAGCACAGTCATGAGGAATGAATGCAAACTGAAGGACCATAAAGGAAGAGTACTGATGAACAGCAGCCCAACAGGCTGACAGGAGCTACCTTGTAACAGCAATTATAAGTTCTGTGTTGTTTCACATCTTCATAAGTAGAAGGGGGAAGTGAACAGAATAGTAATGACATCTCCAAGTGACATTAAAGAAGAAGTCTTAAATAAATAAATAAATAAATAAATATATAAGATCATGGTGACTTTAGAGAAACATAACAGCTACACAGAAGAATATGAAATGGCAAAAAGCAGGCACTTGGAAAAGCAGCCCAAGGGAGTCTAAGATGATAAGCTAAAAGTAATAAGAATAAGAAAGGAAATATAGTCTGAATACTTAAGAAATATTCTCATAAAACCTTTCTGGTGAAATAACCTTAAAATGGCAGATAAAATCCTTTATTTCACAAGTCCTTAAAAACTAGACTACACAAAGATTAACAAATATACCTGGAACAATCCTGCAATGGTTGGGATAGAACACAGGAGGTTTCAGGTAATTTCTATCTTCAGTTTCTACGACATGGCAAATGTCTTTCTAGTAAAAACTGGCACTGCCATGAATAAAAAGAAAATGTCTTCTGGCAGAGAACTTTGTGGCCTATTTTAGTTCTGTTTTCCATTTCAGTTCATCTGGTGCCCAAGGATGCTGGAACCTCTATTGCAGGGATCCCCTTTCATCTTCAATCAACCTCTCTGCATTCAGCTGTTGGATTGGAAAGCGGCGCATTGTCACAACATGCTACAATGTACTTCTGCCAGTGTGATTGTCTTCTCTCCAGCATAAATGAAGCCTATTTGAAATGTGTAGTGTGAGTGCATCAGCTTCTAAGAGAGCTATTGTGAATTGTCTGAAATTCTAGATCAATGTGAAGCAGATTCCTTGCACTGCAGCAATAAAAAGGGTAGGATAGGCTCCTCTCTGGCAGTGGATTTTTTCCAGCTGGCAAGAACTGTCAGCTTTCTTGCAATAGTGAAATACAACAGAGGAGATTCTTTATTAAGAACCATAGAGACTAATTGTAAGATTCAGTTAACTCCAATGTTATAGTATTTAAAATTTATAGAGAATAAAACATTTTTTCTTTATTTCTTTAAGCCTCCAGTCTGAGGAGGAAAAGGGGAATTGTTTCAATATGTGCAGTATTCTCCTTTTTTTTTAAATCTTCCACTCTATGCTAGCAGCAGATTATGGCATAGCAGCTAAAGAGATTATGCTGTCCTGAGGGGCTATCATGGTAACAGCTAAGAATAAAAGAGGCAGATGGGGTGGGAAAACTGGAATATATGTGAGATAGGTTGTATTAAATAACAATACAATCATAGCTATTGAAAATATTCACAAGCTTTTCATGTTCCGTGATCAAGACTAATATCAATGTGGTTTCTACTTTAATTCACCTACAGACTTGTGCTTAACACCTTTGTACAGCCTCTGTTCAGGGCTTCTTGCAATGTAGAACTCTAATTTACTGCTGCCGTAGAAATAACTAGTGCAGAATATTTATAGTAAGTTTAAATATTTACTCATTAATTACTGAGAATAAGAGATTTCTACTAAGAGAAGAACTTTATACTATTCACCTAATGAGTCCTATCAAGTGCAAAAGCAAAGCAAAAGCATATGTGTTTGGAACTTTTAAACAGTTCATGCAGAGGGAAAATAACCATTTCTTTGGAACAGCGAACTTCAGTTTTACTTCTACATTGTTCTGTTACCAAAGGAAACATAACAAATGAACTAACTCCAATATGTGCAATTAGTTTGCAGGCAAAGCTTCTGAAATAAGGGAAATATTTGCCTGAGAGGTCCCTTCCCTTTGAGTCAAATTGACTGAATTCTCAGGCTAAATTCAACATGACATACAGCTGAACATAGGGGGGAAAGGGACTTACTCTCAGCTTCTGTGCTAGTGGAGGAAGAGACTGGAGGAGAAAAAAAATAATAATAAAAAAATAATCAAAGGAATATTTTATGAACATCAGGCCCCAGGCAGTGGGACTTCTCATCTTTTGATGAGAGAAGCATTTTCCTTCCTTAACCTACCTGAGAAAAAAAAAAGGGAAAGCTTGGCAGCATATAAACAAAAAGAGAAAAGTGGAAACCCAAATTTCTCATGAGTATTAAAAAAAGTATGATCTGCCACGGAACACCCTATTTTCCTTATTCTGAGGAGATAGTTCAGGCATATACAGAGATGCAAATATTTCAAAGAGCTCTTGGAAAAATAATGCTTTATTACCACACCTATAGAACATGTTCTAGTCTAGTTTTTACCTGAATGGCATTTTCTCCCCCTCCTTGATGAGTCTTTGTTTGGACTACTGCAATCTGACATTCTGAATTGCTCGAACAAACAAGCAACCAGGAAAGCAAACAAACAAAAGAGTTTCTAAAAGATGTAATTTCAGGACACACAGAATAAACACCAGCCCCAAAACAACAAAAAACGCCAAATAATTGGGTGAATAGATTGGAGAGAACAGGGAAAAAAAATTTGAATTAACATATTTGGATCAAAACATTTCAGTTATGAAATACTGTATTATTTTGGCACATTTATAAAAAAAAGTTATTCTAAAATAGTATACTTCACTTCAAAATTGATACAAATGAAAAATCTTATTGAAGATGAGATTTTTATTACAAGACCTGAAATTTCTTATTGAAAGACCTGAAAAGGAAGAGAAATGTTTCATTCTGGGTCTAAAAAATCTCTGGGGGTCACCTGATTTTTTTTGTCCTTTTCCCATTGTTTAGTTAATCCAAACCAAATTTTTGACGCTCATATGTTTTGACTGAGCAATGGTTTCAGTAGATGCTTCAAGCCATCTCAGCATGGCAGTGTGTTTTTTTTGTTAATTTGCTCCAGAACAAAATATTTCATTTCATTTTTCTGTACAGTTGTCCTGGTTGGAGCCAGGATAAAGCCAATTTTCCTTTTACTGATTTTTTTTTTGCCTTCAGTAAGCTTTCTTTTAACTAGTTAGCAGAGTGTTCCAACTAAGACTGATAACGATGGGATGTTTTTGTAACTGCTGGGTCTTCAAGGTCACATCTTTACTGTGCTGGCTCAGACACTATGGGGAGATCTATGACCCCTCAGAGTTAGACAGACAGCAAAACTGGCCAGAGATATTCCATTCCATATATCTACGTAAGCTCAGAGGAAGGTCAGAGATCACAGAAGACAACTTCCTTCCTGCTGCTTCTTCCCTTCTCTTCCATCCATGGCTGATGTCCGGGGAGGACTCTGTCCATCCATCACCACGGACCCCCATGCTCGAGCTCTCCTGACCCTCATCACTCTGTGCTCTCTCCAGCAGCTCCAGGATTTTTTGGGACTGTTCCCAGCTCAGGAGATGCTGTGGGAGTTGCTGGGGGTGGGGGGAGGCAAGAGGCTTTTGCACATATCTAAACATATTTGTATATAATTGTATATATATTTTCTTATATCATTAGTGTTTAATTAAAGCTGTGTATTTTAGTTTTCAATACAGCCAAGTCTCTCTCTTTTTCTATCTCTCCTGCCCTACCTGGGTGGGAGGGGGAGGGGATCAAGAGCATTTTTATCAAACCCGAGTCAAATGGTGACAACAGTAAAGTGAAATCTTGCAGAAACAGGAACAATTTCCCTTGGAATGCTAGCAAGCATCCCCACTTCTTGTTTCAGGAACACAGACTATGGCTTTTCCCGAGATTCAAACAGGAATATATAGTAAGTAGAGATGGAAGTAATAAACAACATTTTAAGATAGAACAGAACCTC